GAAGTGGTTGGGTTTTAAGCTTGGTCAGAACAATGGATAGTGATCTGCAGTGGTGATCTGCAGGCAATGATATTAAAGGTTGAAAGGGTATTCACCTGAACCATTAACGGAGTGATAAATCACTCTCGAAGTTGCACTTAGAGTTTGGATATATTAAAACAAAACGGCGACGAGTGAGTTAGGTAAAGTCTTAGCTTTAGTGAATCATTTAAAATGTATAGTTTACAAACATTTAATAAAGCATACATACCTAGCCTGACCTAGGGTTAAAATAAATAAATAAATAAATAAATACATGTATACATACATATACTTATCAATAAATTGCCAGTAATTATCATGTAGATCACCTTTTGATAATTGTCTATTATGAATCAAGCAATTTTAGATTAATCAATATATATTGATTAATTATATATGATATAATGTATATTGAACAATTATCAAGAGTCAACCAGTAATTGTAAATACTTAATAACTTTTTTTTAACTTGAAATAAATTTTATAGAGATTAGTTACAATAAAAAAAACTTATTTTTAATTTTGTTAACTATATTATTTTTTAAAGTTTTTATTTTACAATTTTCCAAAAATTTTATTTGTTTTAAATTGATTTTAAATTTTTGAATAGTATAATATTCATTAATAATAATTGATTGATATAAAATAGATTAGTTTTTAAAATATAAATAAACTTTTATTGATCATAATTATATATTTTAATAATATTATTGGTAACCAGAAAAAAAGTTGATAAAAAAGTTATACTTTAATTGAAAAAGTTTTCAATAAAAATAGCCATTATATTAAAAGATAAGTAAAGGATATAAAATATAATATCCTTATTTTTTAATAAGTTTTTTAACTAATAAAATTTTTTTTTCAAAAAAAAAATTAAGGTCTTCAAACTTTTATTTCAGTTAGATAAAATTTTTATATAGGTTTTTTTATTTCAATTAAGTTAACTCTGCTATAATATAATATTAATATTAATAATATAATAAGTAAATTTATATATCAGTAAAAAAATAAGTTTTTCAAATATTCTTTTTGAAGTTTTTATACTTAAGAATACCTAAGTTTCTTAAATAATTTGAAGTTTAGAGAATATTTTAATCAAGTAAATCCTTTTTAAGAGAAAGTTATTTACTTAAATATGAATTTTTTGAAAAATATTCTTTTTTTTTCTTTTTCAATATACTGTAATAATTTAACAATTTATTATTTTTCAGAATAATTTATAATAAAAAATTGTAGGTAATAATTTTGATAAATATAAATTATAATCAATTTATCAAAAATATAAAATATTATTTTTTAAATTTGACTTAAAGTAACTAGTTTAGATCTTGTTTTGTTTAATTTAAACTAACTTATTGATCTTTTCATATTTTTTAAGTAATGTAATCCTTTAACTAATAATATATAAAAACAAATTAATTATTATGTAAATAATTCATGTAATATTATAAATATTTTTCTAATATTTGAATAAATTTATATCATAATGGCATAATTTTGTATTAAAAAAAATTATTGATTTTTTAATATATTTATATTTTTAATTTTTATAAAATTTTTTAAAAAACTATATTTAAATTTTTGATTTTTATTTTCAATTTGGACATTTTAATATTATTTTAATATTATAAAAATAAATAACTTTTCTTTTTTTTTTTGAAAATATATATATTATAAAACATAAAAATTTTTTTAAAATATTTTACAAACAAAATTCATAATATATTATCTATTTAAAGTAAGAAAATAAAATTATATTATAATATATAATGTATTTTATTTTAAATAAACTATCTTATTAATTCAAATATAATTATTAAATCTACACTAGTTAAAAAAAAATTTTTTTTGACATATTACCACTTATATAATATTTAGCAATAGATAAATAATTTGATAAATTAAGGATATAAATAAATTGATAACTATATAATTCAGTTATAAATATTATTATAAAAATCAGTATATTTATAATTTATTAATAATTTATTAAAAATTTTATTAATAATTTGTCAAATGATTTTTGATTGTCCCTTTATTGCCAAAATAGTAATATGCCGAGTGGCAGCAATCAAAAAAAGATTTGTCAATATTTTTATTATTTAATTTAATCAAATTCGGCAATAATTCGATTGCTAAATGACATACAGTAATTTCGACTAGTGCTGTCAAACTTGAAAATTTCGGGATCGGCGCTGGATGTCACATGATAAATAACCGAGGATCCGAGCTGAGTTAATAAGACAAATCGAAATAGTATCATCATTTCGAAATTGGCATGTGACATTGGAACTCTGGGAGAAAACCTTAAACGGATTAATAAAGCCAAATTATTTAAATTTGATATGAAAGATACATAAATTGTTTATTTAATCATAAATCCACTACAAAAAATATATATTTATTTCGAGAATTACTATTATCGAAAACCATTCCTGCATTCTGAGAGAGATATCGCTTGGACATATAAAAAAGAGAAAATATAGATATGATGCCATCTGGTAGTCTATTCCCTGTGAAAGTTTGAGCATGTAACCAACAGTATAACCTAAACTGTCGTAAAACGCACAGCAGGACAAACACAACAGGGCTCGCGATTTAATTGGCATAAAGGTTTAATAAACATAAGCGGTGCAAACTAATGTCAGTTTTTCCGGACGGAACCGTCAATCTCGGAGATCTTCTTTTATTGTAATTGTGTATAAACAAATTACATTTCGAATGTAATTTGGAGTAAATCAATGTAAATGATCAAAGAAAATAATACATTCGGTTATCCGCGAAAATAATAATTTATCGTCATAGCGAATATCTTTTACTTTACAATAAGTTGTCCGATTGAGCCCAAGCATTTGACAAGAGCACGGCGACGTGATTGTTCCGGACGCGTTGACACGAATAATGTACAAAGAAGAATTCTTGGGTAGCTAAAATACAATACATGCAATACACTATCCTAAGTTTTCAAAATTCCAACATTTTTGCCAACATCTTTGTCACAAATGTCTTTATTTCACACCTATTGCCACTCTCTTCCCATCACTATTTATCTACACCTCCGTATCGATTCCGAAACCAAGCTTTCCACTCATTCCACAGATTTATATTTGTTCCAAACACCACGAACGTATTTATACCAAGAATGGCGGTCAGAGATTCGGCCACCCACATAAGTTTTATGCTGGGAACATAATATTTGGAAATAGTTGAATAACAATAATCCTGGGAGTTGTTGTTTAGGATGCAATTTATCCATTCAATTATCCAAGATGGCGATTCTGAGGGGCCTTTCAAGGGCGTCAGTTTTGTTTCAGCGACGTGTATGAAAAGCTGTGATCGAAGGAAAACGACAAGGTTAAGCGATACGAAGAAACTATCAGATCTTTTGTCACAACCTACCCAATAAACCATAAAGGTAACTAAAAATATCATAGATAGTGCCAAAGCTCTCCACTGAATCTTTATAGAGTTGAGCACCTCTTTTCCGGTGACCGATTGAATCGTGGTGGAGACTGAGCTCTCGCATAAAGAGTCTTCGAAGTCGAAATCATCGTTCAACAAACATTGAGACTACCGAGGTTGAGGGAAAAGCGATTTTTATTAAATACCTTACAAATATATCTTTGATGAAACCTACGTGAAAAAGCATACCCTGGCAATGTAGATAAAGGTCCAAATATGTGCGACAAACCCTGGAAACACGATGGCCGCCAACGGAAACCAAAAGTATTGATTTATTTTATTCAATGATACTAAACATACGGCTCCAAATTCAAACGAGATTTGTTGTGTGGCTGCCGGAAGGACGGTGAATATCAAAGAAATGAAGAGAACGAGACCTTGAGCGATCAAGTAATGTCGTTGGATAATTCCGCATCGCCAGACTGTTTGGAAATGCAACTGAATAATAAGGAGAAAGCAATAAAGAATTGTGGCGTAGGTTGCGAAAGTTAGGACTATTCCTGTGGCAAAGGTAAAAAGATTGTCAGGGAAAACTTGATGAAATTTTGAATATAAATAAAAAAAAAAAACCTCGTTCATTTTTGCAAACCTTGTACTCCACACAACGAGTTATTTGCCATATCTGCCTGCGTATAATCGTCTAAACACTGTATTTTCCGATGATCTCCGATATAGAAAAATGTCACACTCAAGAACATCAATAAACTGGCGTTAAGACACAGAACTGTTATGGCCTGACATTCGCGTTTGTTAGGCAACACCAGGTAGCTTAGCAGTATTGTCAAAACACAGATAAATGAGGTAACACGGAATACGCTCAACACTGTGTAAATGGTGTCAATACTGTTTCGGGGATAGAAGTTGTTGACGTACGGACACCGAAGGCAACATTGGGGGGTACAAGTGTACCTTTTAACAGATGGAGTGAGGTTAGGCAAGAATGGGTCCGGACAAGAGTAAAGCTCTGTAGATCGGTTGGGGGAGTTCGAGAATGTTGTCGGCGGGGATATTCGTTTATCGAATTTTACGTGAATTTGCGTTATCCTCTTGTTTCCTCTCGAATCTCTGAAATCCTTCTCACCGTTCACCATGTAAATTCCCAGAAAAACACCAACAATAAAAAATAATGTTAAAATCCGATGTTGCTTCATTTTCTATGAGAAAAGAGGATGTGTAAAGTTTTCAATATGGATATTTCCTAAGATAGAGTTGAGTGAGGAAATTTATTATTCAGGATCGCATTAATTTTGACGATTATTATTAAACAACTGTCATTAATCAGGTTGACAGAGATTAGTTTGATAATTTTAATGACATTTAAAGGGCAACAAAAGTTTCAAACAAGAACTCTCGCATGAAAAAAAACAAAAGAGGAATTATGTCAATCGGTTAATGTTGAGCGACGATTCATGGTTTTTTTATAGTAACTGTAATTTGTAATGGCCTGGCCTTCACTTGTACGATTACGATCCATGCGTAAAATTCTTCGATCGGATTTACGCTTCACTACTTCGTTCGCGTTAGCTCAGTTGCTGACGGTGTTACAAACTATCCGTAAAGGGAAGGAAGGCCTAATTTAATAAATACAAGATACGTATGTAACCAATAAGAATTCATTATATTATTACAAAAAGAATAATACTATCCAATTCGTTTTAAACCTCGAACCATGTGATAGTTATAATCACACCATCTTACCGAAACCGCGCAATGTTAGCCAACACACCGTTCAGTATTATTATAACTAATAAAATGAAGCCCGTGAATACGGTAAATACTAAACCATCTCGGACGCGCACCTCCGCGTGACACTTCAATCAAAGCGATCATGAATCCGTTTATTGGTGAAACTTGATATGTAAAAATATTTTCCCCGCAATGTTTGATCTTCCAAATGACTCGGCAGAAATTCTCAATGATCAAAGTAAGATTCAAACTTTAATTCACTGTATGTAATTGATCGAGTGCAACTGCTGCGTTGCAAAAACCAGTCGAAAATCCTGTAAGATATCAAACTACGCATCTTTCGGCTTGAATCGATTAAATGCTTTCCTAAAAAACTTTTAATTCAATTTAATACAATCCCGGCATGTTGATCGATTAATAAAAATGTTGCATGCACCTAAAATAACTCCTTTCCAAGGGCCGCTTCTGTTCTTGCAGTCGACATCCAGACCGTCACGTTATTATAAAAAAAAAAAAAGAAAGAAAAGAAAGAAAAGAAAGAAAGAAGCGAAAAGGAGTGAATAAAAATTTACTTACGTACCATATATTTTGATTTAATTTACTAAACGAAAGTGGGTCTTCATTATTAAATGAGATCGCCAGCATAAATTCCGAGGTCTTGTATAACAGATCTTGATTCCATTTAATGCAATATTGTTGCTCGTGATATAGAATTTAAGAATTCACGAATCGATTTCAATTTTTGAACATTTAGTATCTTAAAAAAAATAATCGATAAAATTGAACGTTTTTGCAACGCTCTTAAGCAATTCCGAAGAAACCAATTGGAGACCTGTTAATTAAATACTCACTGTACAATTTAGTCCCTAATCGGTTTCTTATAAACTGTCTAAATATAATGCTGAGAAAAAAAAATGTTAGCTCCCATTAAAAACAGCTATCGAAGATTAGATTTTATAACCTCGTGCATTATCCCAAACTAAATAGGAATATTATTTTTTATAGATCCTGTTCGGTTTCGGTAAACATAGTATGTTGTGTAAAAAAAAAAAAATTTCACAGTAGTTAGTTTATTTTTCAAGCTTTTACAAAAAGGTACCGAAATTTGTGATACGCAGAAGAAAATTAAAACTTCGAGCTATGCTAACAAATTAATTGTGCATCGTAACTTTCTTGCCATAAATAGAAAAGATGTTTCTTGATTTTTTTTAATTATAAAAAATGAAGTCTCTATATAAAAAAATAAATAAACAAAGTATAATAAAAAAATCA